GGTCACTAGTCCTTGTGTCAGTGGCTTGGAAACAAGCTCTCGGGTGTACCTGCTTTTGGGAATGCTGACTGTAGGACTTGAGTTTGCGTATAGGTCCGGCTAGCCCTGGCATAGGAATCTGCATTCCCTTGTTGGGTTCCATGGTGCGTGGGGCGGCCAGATCCGAATCTTTCTCCATTTAAATATGAATGCTATGATACCTTTCTGCTCCAACAATGTACCCGATACTCCGATTTTGACCAAAAGACTAAGAAACGACATAAAAAGCAATGTATCAGATGTATTTTGTCCATGTTTCTTAATTATGACCAGCTCTGAAGAATTGAAAAAAATGTCACCCTTTCTAATAAATATCTTTTGTCTTCTGTAGGAGAACTGAAAAATATTAAGAGACTTCGGTCTGGAGACCTTTTGATAGAAACTGTGTCCGAAAAGCAGTCTAATAGTCTTTTGAAACTAAATTAGGACAAGCAAATATTGCAGTTAAGCCACATACACTCTAAATTCGTTCCGAGGAATAGACTTACTGTCAGTAACTAAAGAGCAATTTGTTAAAGAGTTGGCAGATCAAAACGTGTGTGGTGCTCTTAGGATCAAAATACAGAAAGAAGGTCAACTTATTCCCACTAAGCATGTCATACTTACTTTCAATCTCCTAACCTGCCTAAAATCATCAAAGCTGGATACCTATTCAGTTAGACCGTATATACCAAATCCAATGCGTTGCTTTCAATGTCAGCGTTTTGGACATGGAAAGACCTCTTGTCACAGTAGCCTCACGTATGCTCGATGTTCCATCGTAAGCCATGCCAGTGAAGACTGTTCTGCTGCCCCCTTATGTATAAATTGTAAAGGCGAGCACCCAGCTTTTTCAAGATTATGACCGAAACGGCATACAGAAAAACAAATTCAAAACATTAAAGTTACACAAAAGATATTTGCAGAAGCCAACAGACTCGTTCTCTCTAATCAGCCAAGACCTAATAAATCTTATGCATCTGCAACAAAGTCATTCATATTAATATCAATGCAATAGCCACACAGAAAAAAGAGCTAGCAATGCCAGAAGATTCTAGAAACAAAAAATCAGGGGAAAAAACCTGTAGTACACCGGTGACTACGTCCAAAGGAAAACGGGATGTCCAACAGAACAAACATAGAGATGGTATTAAAGAGAAAATTAAGCAAAAACCCAGAACCCCCAGTCAAAGCCCTGTTGCAAGCATGAGTTCAGGACGCCTAGATGACTCTGACGAAATGGACGTTGAACAAGGGTTATCCCTTCCGAAACACCTTTTGCCTCGAAAGTAACAAAACTGCACCACCAAAAGAAGCATCCATAATGGGTACATTTATTTCATGGATCTGCTGGGGTTTCCATCAGAACCTGGATAATATCAAGAAATTAGTCGACATCTATGAACCTGCCTGCTTTGCACTTCAGGAGACCTTGTTAAAAACCAAGCAGATATGCTAAGATACGGAGATATGCCACCGTAAGAATGGACAACCCATCTGGGGGTCGTGCCTGTGGTGGTGTGGGCCTTATCACCTCCCACAATCACCCCGTACTCTGCTCTCTCTTTGACGACCTCCCTTCAAGCTGTGGCGATCCTGATTAATATATGTTTTTCAATCTCGGTATGCTCTATTTATTTCCCCCACATGAGCATGTTGATCAGCGAGAGTTGGACAGAATAATAGAGCAGCTCCAAGAACCTTTTTTGCTTTTAGGTTTTTTGCTTCAATGCACATAGTACCTTATGGGGAAGTAGGGACACTATTTCAAGGGGCCGGCAGATCAAACAATCAATGGAAGATCAATCTATTTGTCTTCTTAATAATGGAGATTACACCTACTTTCATCAGCCAACTAGAACATTTCATGCAATTGATCTGGTTTTTTGTTCTCCATCTCTACTACCTTTCTGCTCTTTCAGTGTAGGGAAGAATCTCTACAATAGTACCATTTCCCAGTGATTGTTAATATTACAGGAAAGTCAGTGATCTCAAGACATCCACGCTTACTTTACGATAAAGCTGATTGGGATCTTTTTGCATCTTGTGCTGTGCTGACTGAAGAAATGGTAAACGACATGGAGATTAATGCAGCAGTAAAAATAATCTCTGAAACTATTGTACAAGCAGCTGAACTCTGTATTCCGAAGTCCTCGACAAAGTTCCCTAAACCCTGGAACAGTGATTGTCATGAAACTTCAAGAGAGCAAAAGAAAGCTTGTATGAAGATTTGCCAGTGTTGGACATAGGTGAAAGGTGAAAGTATCTTTCACCAGTGTCCAACACTGGCAAATCTTCTGGCCTTTAAAAAAGCTAGGGCGAGTGCAAGAAAAGTGAGGCAGCAAAGTCAGAGAAAATCATGGGCAGCCTATGTGTGCACTATTACCTCCTCAATGTCTATGAAACAGGTTTTGGAAAGAGTCCCCAAAGCCTCTGGACTATATAATGATTATTCCTTTTCTGTTCTAGAAAAAGATTTGAAAATGATCAGCACTAGAGAAGAAATAGCTGATACTTTACGTGATACGTTTGCTGCTGTACTGGCATTAGCAATTACTCAAAAACGTTTCTGTCCACCAAGATGTGCTTGGAAAGGATTCAAATTGACCTTTTTCCATTCTAATGCATAATCTTATAATAAATTATCTCACCATGTTTGAATTAAGAAGTGTAATATCTCTCACTGACAGGATCTGCTCATGTCCTGATGGCATAAGTTATTTGATGATAAAGCATCTGCCCTATGAATCTCTAGTGGTCCTTCTCGCTCTTTATAATGAGATATAGAAGAAACAAATTTTTTCCAATTGCTTGGTGCTGGGCCTTTGTAATCCCTATAGCAAAACCCTGCAAGGACCTGAAAAATCCTTTAAATTATCGTCCCATCGCGCTCACTAGCTGCCTTTGCAAGATCATGGAAAAAATGTTAATTCACTGTCTCATCTATCTGGAGAGTAATCATTGCCTATCGCCTTACCAAAGTGGTTTCCATAAGGGAAGATCTTCACTTGACAATACCCTGCTTTTAGAAACCGCAGTACGCAATGCATTTGTGAAAATAACTCAAATTTTTAAGATCATTGGTTGGTTGGTTGGTTGACTTTTAATGGCACAAAACCTTGAAGGTTATTATGCACAAGACGAATGGTGAATAAAATTCAAAAAGTACAAACACACTGTATCAGATGAAGTGTTGACAAGAACCTGTAATGCTGATGAAGGCATTGAGAAATGCTCTAGCAACAGGTAGAGCAGGATAAAAGAAAAAAACTTCAAATCATATGGTAAATAGAGATATATTTTTAAAAACTTATGAGGTTGATGTGAAGGTTCTTCCAATAAGATCTGTTAACATTTGTAGAGTTAAAATGATATCCACGTTTCTGACTAAAAGCAGGACAGCAGGTTAAAATGTGATTGGCTGAAACAGGAACGTTGCAAGTGCCACAGATAGGCTCATTATCTCCTTTCAAGAGATACTGATGTGTCAGTCTCCAGTGACCAATTCGTAGGCGAGTCAGCAGTACATCCATCCTCCTTTCAATTTCCGCTCGACTCCCAATACTCCAAATTGGGTTTTACCTGCTTTCATTTGTTCAGAGTCTGGCATTCCCAGGGTTCTTGCCGCCTGGACAAGATCTTTGTTCTGATGTACTTCTGTATGTCTGTAAAAGGGACATCATTTTCAGAGGTAATATCAGTAGATTTTGCAGTGACATTGGTGAGTTCATTGCCTTTGATGCCAGCATGTTCAGGCATCCAACAGTATGTAATAGAATAACCCGCGTTACTCAAATGGAGGTGTGCCTTTAAAATTTCTAAGACCAAAGGGTGTCTAGTATTTGTATTTATTGATTCAAGAGCACTCAGAGAGTCAGAGTAGATGATGAACTTTCTGCTATTCTTCTTAGAGATAAAGATTAAGGAATTCAAAATGGCAAAAGTTTCTGCAGTAAAGACAGATGCAGCCTATTGAAGCTTACTACTCTTGATTTCTTTATCACAAACAAAAGCTGCCCTGACATGATCATGATTCTTGGAACCATCAGTAAAAATTGCTTTATAGTTAGAATGACTGCTTCTAATGCTCTAGGAAAATTCGTTGATATTGGACATCATTGATACTGCTCTTTATAAGTTCCACAAAAATGTTAAATAGACTAATATTCACTTCTTGCTGGGGAGCAATACCGAAAAAGTTAAAGCTTTTGGGATGCAGATCTTTTAGGTTGAATTCTTCAATCAGTGAGTGAATGTGAAGATCAAAAGATAGGATACATGAAGGACATGCTTGGTAGATATGCCAGTACTGATCAGATGTCATGAGTCGAACAGGATGTTCGGCTTGTGACATTACTTTACAATAAAGATCAATGGACAACTGCTTGCATCTGAAATCCAGTGATGGTTCAAAACAGATGACATATAAAACTTTGGACTGGAGATGTTCTGAAAGCTCCACAGCAAATTCGTAGCGCTTGATGGTGGACTGGATCCAATTTCAGTAGCACAGAAGGTCTTGCAGATCAATAGATAACACAGCCATAGTCAAGTTTGGAGTGGATTAAAGCTCTATAAATGCGGAGCATAGAACATCATAGAACAATGTTCTATGCTCCGCATTTATAGAAGTATTTCTCCCATAAAGTATTGGCTAGGACTTTCAGTATGTTGAGAGCTTTAGCACATTTTTTCATTCATTCTCTGGTGCATAATAACCTTCAAAGTTTTGTGCCATTAAAAGTCAACCAACCAACTGACCAGTAATAAAATTTTTTTAGATCTTCACCACTTGCTTTATTATTTATCATTCGAAAGTTATATTTGAATGTAAGTATAAGCCATATTTAATTCGTTTATTTTTTATTAAATTATTACTTTTGTTTCATTTCATATTTTGAGTTTATAATATATGTATTTAAATTAATTATAATTATGAAGTATATTCAACTAAAATGTTCTTTTTTTCTTTTATTTTACAGAGATCTCTGCTTGAGAATGAAGCAAAAGAGACAGCTGTCTTTTTAAGACTGCACTCGGTTTGTCTTTGTTAAAATTTTTTTATGCAAATTATTATTAATAGTTTTTGAGTTCTTTGATAGTTTTATTCAAATTATATACATGCTTCTTTCAATGATTTATTTCTTAAAAATTGTTATTTATTTTGTTAAAGTAATTATTAAGTGCTGACATTAAATAATACCAGGAACTTCAGTTGGTATCAGTCAGTATGTGATAAACTGACAATAAATTCTTGCTTTGCTATTCAGCAATGCACTCGTCTTTCATTGTGTTATAAAGCATGGGCTCTTTCAAATTCTATTGGCTTTGACATACTTCCCATCTATTATTTTTTTTGCAAACTGGGATTTGCCTAATAATGAAATGAAAGCTATTAGTTCTAAAAAATCTAATTTTATTGATTAATTAAAAAATTTATTAATTGATTTAATTTAACATCGCTGAAAAATCGAGAATGGTATAAACTATTGTCAAATTCCTGTCTCTAAAAGAAATTTTTCTAACGACTTCAACCTATTTCCTATGTCTATTTCCTTAATGCATGTTTGTACTTCCAACAAAAGAAGTACAAATATGTTGTAAGATCGAACATTGGAAATAGATTGAAGAAAGCCAGATTCATTTAAAACTGCCATATTATGCAGAGAATTAATATCAGTTACATTTTGTTAAAAAAAAAAAAGGTTTTGACTGGCAGATAAAAGAGTAATAAAATTAAATGAATTCAGAAAGTGTACATTACCTCAACAGAGGGAGAATTAAAACTCTTACCTTGAAATCTGCAACAAAAGCTTCAAGTTTACTGTGCCACATCAAAGCTTCTTGTTTACCTTAATGGATAAATACCAATTATAAATTAATATATATTGCATTCAATATAGCTTGAATTTTATAAAAATTACCACAGTGATTTATAGCATATTTATACGATTCCAAGTTATTACAAATATGTTTTAAAAATAAAACTATCTATTCTTGTTTAAAAAATTTATTTATGATTTGATTATTTTTTATAGTTTAATGGTACTGATTAAAATCATTGTATTAATATAAATCACTAATTTATATTTTGTTTTACTTATTTTTAAAAATTTCATATAAAAGTATAAAAATAGAGAAAAGTGATTTAGATGAAACTGCACATGAGATTTTGAATTTCTTAAAATCGTAATTTCCTTTATTGAGGTTTAATACTCACAGAAAAGGCAATTTGTATGAATGCAGTAACGTCCCACAAACTCGACCTAATTTGGACTGTGAGGATGAGTTATTCGCAACTTGTAATATTTCATCTAACAAGTCCATGAGAGTTTTCTTATTACTTTTCTCCTTGCCCAGTCTCTAAAGGCATCCAGCTTCCTTTTCATAGTCATGATAGCTTGTTCTCTTCTCATCTTGTATTTCACTTGCACAAACAGCACTTGTCAGCTTGAATATCAAGATAAATACTTCCCAGAGTGAACTAAAAGTTTAGCTTAAAGTAAAGCACATTTATAAACCTTTAGATAAGCCTGCTAACAGCAGAAAGTGATGTTTGTGGTAAACAATGGTATCCTGATTTTCTTCAGCTAATTTCTTACTGAAAAGAGAAATGAGATAGATTGAAATTTCTATTAAAAGGAAAAAAAAAAAAACTATCACGAGATTCCTTATACAGGTTCCAACAAATAGTGCCACTAAGCGAAAGACACAAAAATTGCAAAATTAGAGTAACATAGCATATCTTTGAAGAGAACAGGAAAACATGCAGACATTTAAAATTTTTTCATAACTATGTACTGTAATTAAAATGTACTTGTATTGTTTGCACCATGTAGATGATGTTAGAAATTATTGCAATCTAGCTTTTAATAAACCATCATATTTTTCAAAAATAATGTTCTTCTTGACCAGCAGATGTCTTTAGTGATTTAAAAAAAAATTGATTGCTGAATGTGCTGTGATTGTTATAGAAACACAAAAGTCTGATATTCAATTTGATATTAAAAACTAAAAAGTTAGCTATAAAAAATAACAAGGGAATTGCAAGTGTAAATAAATAAGTTGTACAACATTTTTTAAATGGGAAGAGCTGGTTAAAATAGAAAAGGATTAGAATTAGATGGCTAAAGTAAAGCTGAGAGTTTTTTAAGTGTTCAAATATTTGATATACATATATTAAGGGAATTTAACTGTTTCTTAAGTTGATTATCAGTCTTTGTTGACATGTTTTAGTAACCTATTTTAAAGAAATCCTTTTTTGAAGATTCTTGCCATTCTGATTAAAAAGTAAAAAATCTCGTTTAATCAAAATGATGATAATAAGACAGGCATATAAAATGTTGCCCACTACATTGAGATAAAGTGCATGAAGTAAGATTATAAGATATTTCTCTTGCCTTCTTAGCATGCCTTCATGGTGTAGTGGTCAGCAGATTCAGTGCATTCAGTGCGATTCAGTGATTCAGCAGATTCAGTGCGAGTCTTGGTGAGGGCATTGCTCATTTTTAATGTCTTCAACTTTAACCTAATGTCTCTACAGTGATTTTATTAGACATATACTGTCTCCAACTTTAAAAATAACCTAATGTCTCTACAATGAACTAAAGGTGGTGGTGGATGATTCTCCACTACCAGGATGATTGAATCCCCTAATCTAAAGTCGCCCTTTAAAAGGGGAGTATATAAGGTATTTCTCCTTCCTTCTTAGTGTGGTGTAGTGGTCAGCACACTCGGCATGTATTCGAGAGATCCGGGGTTCGAGTCCCAGAGAGGACATTGCTAATTTTTCACATCTCTAAAATTAACCTAATGTCTCTACAAGATGTACAAAAATTTAGATATTATCTGATGTTTTTAAAAACTTGTGGGTAGTCATATGTCTTTTTTATTGTGGATTATTTTTCAGTTGCTTGGAGAGAATTTTTTGAGCAAATATTAATTGAAAACATGCTTATCTTATTTAGCTTAGTATTATTATTTTATAATGTGAAATAATAATTAGTTCAGAAACAAATGCCAAAATGAGAGCTTTAATTTTTTTAACATTTTGTATAATTAAGGCTGCTTGTACCTTAAAAAAATTGATTTTGATGCTGTGGAATTGAAATTTAATATTTAAATCTAAAAATTAGTATTGATGAATGATAAGTTAATATGTGTGTCTGATTTTTATCTTTTTTTCAAAACAAAATAAGTGAAGTATATTTAATTTTCAATTTTATGTACTGAATAGTATTGTTTGAAAAATATTTATCTTTTAAAATTATATTTTACTGTTTCATCTTTTTTATTAGTTATTCTCTGCTATGAGGAAACAAGAACTCCTGTCACTGAAAAATAAGTACAAAGATTACTCTGGATACCTTGTTAAACCTTATAGTTCATTTGCACTTTCTTTAAGGTAAGTTTTAGTCAGTGTGTGGTGCGATTGTCTAATTATTTATACTAAAAGGTGTAAAATGCAGAACAACTTCTAATATTTTGTGTTTTTAAAAGTAAAAATAAAATTATTTTCAATAAAAGATTTAAGCGTGATTCTGATGATAGCTTTTCTTGATCATGAAAAAATACTTCCTGTATTCTGTAATGAGCAATATTTAAAGAACACCACCCCTTGATAAAGAAAAGTTGATACTTTTCTGCGGACTGCTTCATAATTCCTATATAGGGCGGCTGGGTTTTGAAAAGAAAAGAACCTTCATAAAGTTGCTCTGGCATAAAAGTGTGCACCTCATGAAGATCAATTCGTAACTTCAAAAAAGCAACTCTCGTAAATGTGCTGGCACCTTTTACTAAATTTTACCGTAAATGTGCTAATCCACCATTATGCAAATCCAGTTTAGGTTTGCAAATGAAAACTGAAGTTTATTTTGAATTTTAAAATCAGGTAATGGGTCTAGCCCACTCATTAGTTAAAGTCATAGAGCACTGGTAGTTATCTTGGGTTTTTTTCCCTTTAATCATAATAATCAACCAATGTTATATGATGAATTAAAAAAAAAAAATGGATTTTTTTTATGTGTTTTTAATTTCATTGCAAGCATTATCAGTCAATATTTGCTTTTCATTATATCATGTTCATTGGTTATGTCTGTTTCATCAAATTGCTTCCATTTTGTTTTGAACCAAAATTTAGTTTATTTAACATTTTGTAAACTAAATTTTTGACTGTGAAAGGTAATACAACAGAAATGAAATATTCTTATCTTCGCTTACGAAATATTTCATGCTCATAACTTTGGTGATAAATTCAGAGGTGGAAGAAAGGCCCAATGAAATAAGCATTAATTTCTTCTTTTAAGTTACTTTTGTTTCACAATTTTCAGAGCTGAAGGATCATGTATTAATGCAACAAGAAGGTACATGGGTAAGTCTTAATGTAGCCAGAATTCCAGATTTTTTATTCTCAAGTCTGGAATTTCTGAGTTTAGAACAAATATATCATTTAAAGATTACATAATTTTAAAACTTTTAGATTGTATTTAGTTCAGTGAGAGGTCGTATCTGTGTAAACTGAATTTGACTTATACAAAAAAAAAAAAAAAAAAAAAAAAAAAAAAAAAATGCTCTTTATCTTATGCAGAAAAAGAAAAACTCGATATTATAAAGCTCTGGGCTGAAGTACTCGGACTAAAAGAAGGTAACCCCCCCCCAAAAAAAAAACCAATGCTGACAAAACATTAAATTTGTTTTAACTTGCATCAAGGGACCTCTAGTTGAATTTTCATTAAATTATATAGTTGATAGTATGTCAGAATAAAGAGCTTCCTTGAATGATAGCTTAGATGCTGTGCAGATTAAAATTATTTATTTTCATTACTCAAAACTGCATATGAAGCATTTGGATCAGAAAGTCTCTATAGGGACTGTTGGCAAAGGTTTTTGGGGGCAATTTATTGCATAACTGGACAGCTTACCAAAATTCTTTATATTCCATGAATCTTTCTCTTCTTTCTAGCAGCTCCCTATCTTCAACACTATTTGATATGGATGCTACAAGCTATAATCTAATCACACTGAATCTTCAGTTATTAGCAAAGAAAAATACAATGCAATTGATCCCAGAAAGTAACCCCCCCCCACACACAAGAAAAAAGGCAGCTTAACAATTATTTTTAAAAAAATGTTAATAAACCAAATAAATAAGCACCTGTATGAATTGATGCAGTAAAATATACATTAATTTTTAATAAATTGAAAAAATATATATCCTTTTTTTATGTGAAATAACTGGAAAACATTTGCTAGTGAAATAGTTTGAAAATATGTGTGTGCGCATGTATGTGTTTCACAACAATATTTAGAATTATTTGAAATTAATGATTTTTACTGCACAGTAATCTTCAGGGTTTTGGGAATGGGACTGTAGTCAGCTTTAAAAGCAGCACAAGGTAGAATGAACTTTTGCTACTACCTGATACTAATTAGTGATAAGGGATCTTTTTCATCGCTTTCTTAAATCATTTTATAAGATCATTTATCTTGGAAAACCTGCCATTATAGGCATTTCTTTGAAGCTTGATAATAATAAAACATCTAAGTGGAGATGCTAAATTTCCCATTTTAATTCCTATCAAAAATCATATTCAGTGTACTAAATATTTTCCTTCAAGTTAATTTTTTCATTGCATGAAATTTTCTCATCTTATTTCAAATAATTCATTGCCTGATTTAAATAATTTGATGATTGTAATATGTGGGTATCTATGAACGCTAGCTTTCAAAGAAACATTTTAAAGAGTATTTTTAGTGAATGTTTTGTTTTCATAATATTGCTTTTGTAAAAGAGCTGTTGTCGTTATTTATAATGTGTTACTGCAGACATCATTTATGTGTTTCAGGGAAATTTCATCTCTGTTTGAAGAAGGTAAACAGCATGATGCTCATGAACTGCTGCTTACAATAATTTCTGCATTCTCGACTGCCTGCGAAGCACTAAAGGAAAAGTCTACAAATAAGGATGTAACTTCAAAATCTCAGTCATCTTTTGCAATAGACATGAAGATAACAGAATTATCTGTAAATGACACAGTCCATTCTTCAGATCAAAAAAATCTTAAAAGGAAACAAATAGCTATAGAGAATGTTGTTCAAATAAAAAAAAGGAGAAAATCTGAACCATTGACAATGCATGGAAGTCCTGTAAAAAATTCATCTGAAATAATAAATATTGAAAATATTAATTTAGGTTTTGAAGGTAAAATCCATCATAGTATTATGTGCCTTGAATGTGAAAATAAGCTGGAACGTGAAGAAATATTCATGAACTTGGAGGTATCAGTTGCTGAAGAGTGTGTTAAAGAAGGTAATATATTTTCCTTTAAATTAATATGGTATTTACTCATATTTCTTTTCCCCTTTTTTACTAATTTTATTGTACAAGTCAAGAGGGGAGAATTATGTGAATAATTTAATCTCGAAGGACCCAGTAACAGTAAGAATATAACAAAGGAAAAATATTCATGGATAACCTGCCAGTAACTACCACAATATTATTTATTTAAAAGAAGCCTACATTCCAGTAAGAATCATAGTAATATAAGCATCACTTTTATCTAATAAGGTATTTTCATTTCTACTTCCCTGCATCAGGAATCTTGCCCACTGCTCAATAAGCAGTCCACTTTTAGTCCTCAAATTATTGAATGCCCCTGGAACTGCTCTCTATGTTGTGTGCTACAGCTTGCAAGCCATTATCATCATAAGACTAAACGCTGTCTTCCTTCCCCTGTGCAGCGATCTTCAGAACCATCAATACTATTAGATATCCCCGTTTTCTTGCAGTTCTTCACTATTATTGTTTCATCAATCAGATCCCTTGCACCCAAAATCCATGAGCAAATCAGTAAGATAAAAATAACCACTTAAAATTTGGAGAAGCTTGTTTATTAATGCATTGAAAAAAAAAGGGGGAAATTATGTGAATACTTAAATTTTCAGAACCTTGTGCTAAAATACTATGTGAATATACGAGTAATATAGTACTTTTAATGTAATGAATCATTTCATAAAGTACATTTCCACTGCTTAATTCTGTTTCAAGTTGATAATTATAGGTTGACAATAATGCCATTGGAGATATACAAAGTCTTTAATCCGGACTTGTCGGGACTTCGGCGATTCTGGATTAGGGTTTTTTCCGGATTATAGATCATCATTTTAAATCTGGTAAGATGGCATGCAGAAATTATAAAATTAAAAATATGAAACTGTAATTTATGAAATAAAGAGCAATTTTGATCTAAAGATTATCAAAATTTACAAAAAAAAAAAAAGCTTAATATTTATTTGCTTACTTTATTAAACATTTTTTTCAACGCGCGCATGCATAAAGCATACATTGCGCATAGTCGAAATTAGAAAATTGCAACCAGAAAACTATTTGATGTGTATTCATGATATTTATAATCAGTTTGATTTAAATCATATCAAAGACAGAGTACATCGAGAGGAAATACTACATTTAGTAATGAACTATAAGCCGAATAAAATAAAAACATCTGCCCTGAAGATAAGGATAGTGCTGACAGATCAACTTCCAGTTCATTGGGTGAGGTTCGAATCCCGCGAACGGGCTGGATGCATGGGTGTTTTCATGGTTTTCCCCATGTGTAACGTGTATACGAGCCAGTTTCCCTTAGAAAGTCCTCCACGAAGGCATCCCTCCCCTTAGGCAGATAGCCCTCGTGTGCTTTGCCATAATTAAATACACCAACTCCAGTTCATTGCACGCCGCGACATTCCCCTTCCCTGCAGAACAGCGTGAAATTGATAAACAGATTTCAGAATGGTTAGAGAAACAAAGGATATGCCTTTATCCATTTTTTGCATCAATTCCAACTTTTTGTTTGATGGACATGAAAACATGCTTTCGCTTTGTAGATCCTTTGGCAGCTCCAGAATCGGAAACTCTTTTTGACATAATCGAAAGTTCAAGTTTACTTTTTATAAAATTGCTCTAACATCTGCAAAAAATAATAAGCCGGATCCAATTCTAAGATTAAGGAACAACGCAATCTGCAACATTAACTGAAATAGATAATTAGATCATTTTAGCCTAGCTTATACCATCCGTTATACATTAATCATGCATGCCTAAACGTATTATGCGCAGGCGTAAAGGTATGTGTTTACGCATGCGCAGAAAGTTTGTAGCTTTGAGGTCCAGATTATGGATGTCCGCATTTAAGGACTTTGTACTGCATAAGACAACAGTATTTAACAAACTGTATAATGTTTGAAATTTTTTTAACATAAAGTAATGAACTCAATTATTCTTCACAGGATGTACTCTTTTTTCCTTTTATTTTTTTATATAGATAGGGATTCCATATCTTCATACTGGTACTTTTCAGATAAATTTATATTTTCATTTCTGAAAATATAAATAATAAATGGTGCTTCCCACCTCCATTGGAAAAATTTTTATTGTGATATTGACATTTCTTTTTTTATTTTACTGTGGTATTTTTTATCCAATTGAAAGACTGAAACTTTTTTTTTTTTTTTAAAGTCAGCATGGGATTTTTAGTTTGTTGCAACAGAATAATGTCTATGATGCACAACTATCGCTAACACCTCTTCCCATCTAGATCAGCAAGTCTGTATAGAAATTACTGGCACCTTTGATATAAACTCCATGATTAACTTTTGAGGGGGGCTTGTACAAGCACTTTGTTAAGTTTTTATTATTATTACGGTCCTGTTTTTTAAACGCCACCAGGATTATTGCCAAGTCATGTTGAATTTTCTATGCATTATGGCTGCCATGTTTGTGCAGTTCCTTTTAATATGACATCAGAAAGACTTTCACCATATGAACTCCGAAAGGTATGACTCCTGATCACAGCAAACCGTCCATTCTTAAGGTCAAGAAAATGAATTTATTGTTCACAGTAAAAAAGTCTCTGAATTACTCTTTCCAGTTCCTCTGGTTTATATGCTTCACAATAATCTGAGTAAATCATAGATACCTCTTGTAATACATGGTTGACAATTTTTTTCATAAGTATGGTTACCTCTCTATTCAAAACCTAAGTGAGAAAGAATTTACAAGTTTCTCAGCATAACTAATCAAATATTCATTCTTTTGAGAGAACCCTGACAGCTTTATTTCTGCCATTCCATTGCGAACAGATTTTCGTTAATTTCCACTGTTTTTTCAGATTCAGCTATTCACTTATTTGGTTGTTGAATTAGATATAAAAAATGTACCTCTATCTTAAAACTGGTTCAGTCAATAGTTTTATTTTCATAAAGGCTGAGTTTCTTCCACCACCATTTAATCAACATCAGTTCCTCTTCTGAAAGTAAGTAAATCACTGCACTGTTACAGTATTCTGAAGCCACTGAACCAGTTGTCAAAACATGTTACAAATTTTATATATATTTAAATAATTTTAGTGAATTTGTAGTATATTTTGTAAAATATTGTACAGTTGTAAGAGGCCTTCAAGTCTGTTCAACAAAAATTTGAAGCTGGTCAAGAAGAAATGAAAAAAGAAATTACTGCCATAATAGAAAACAAATTAGAGGCTATGGAAGGAGAATAGACATGGTTTGAAAATATAGTTGGGGAAACTGAAGAAAGAGTTTCTGCTGCCAAACAACAAATCAGACAAAGAGTGTCTGATGTCCAGCAACAAATCAAAGAAAGAGTTTCTGCTGTTAAGAAATAAATCGTTGATAGGTTTTCTGCTGCCATTAACAGCTTAAAGAAATCACTAGGAACAACTTGATACAGTTCTGACAGTTTCAGTGACTCTATAGTGGCAGATGCAACTGGATAGGATTCCCAAGCTAAGGCTTGCTATCTCGCTGATTCTTTGAGAGTAGACACTACACATCAAAACAGAGATCTAGCCTCACTGCTTAGCGAAGCTAAAAATTAAAATTCCGGCAAGGCAAATGATTTCAAAGGTTGTTGGTGAAAACGTAAGTAGATAAAAATGGAAATGAAAGGGAATCAATTGTTAATCCTGAAAAACATAAGGATCAAATGCAAAACTATATATCTTTGATGCAGATCCAAACAACTAATTTGGCCAATACTCATCCTCCTAATAGTCAAGCTTCTGTCTCTGTTTCACAGAAATCTGACAAACAGTCTAGGTATTCACCTCCTGGTGAGAAAACTGAAGTTATTGATATGGAAGTTGACTCACCTTATTCATCTGGTGAATCTCTCTTAGGGGCTCACTTTTGTGAGTATAGGTGTGGCAATCCCGAGGTACCCTAGCCCTTTCAGGATTATCTTCGTGGTGAGATGGGGGTCACGATCCTAGAGCCCTAATGATCTTTCCTCCTTTCTTTTTCATCTCTCCTTTTCTGTGCTTATTTCTTTTCTTCTGCCCTTGTGTTTTTCCTTTTTGGAGGTGGGCTTAAAGTGAGATTCTAATACATCTCTTTGTTTCTAGTTTCTCTCAGAGAAAACCGCCTACATGTTTGCCGTGCATTGTGACCCATAAGGCTGGAAAGGAGGGTCCTGGTAGTTGAGGGGCGATGCACTGTCCCCAACACACTGCTTTGGACTCTGCTTCAGATTGAAACGGGAGGCATTTAGTTTTCAGTTTTCCCCGCTAGTGTCAATCGGCAGGTCACTCGTCCTTAAGGACAGTGGCTTGTGGATAAGCTTTCAGGAACCTGTGGGTGCTTCAGAATGTGTATAGGTCTGGCTAGCCCTAACACAGGAGTCTGTGTTCCCTTGTTAGGCTCCGTGGTGGCCGGGGCCGTCAGACCCGAATCATTGTGCCTTCAATCATGCCTTCTCATTGGACCTGAGTCAAATGAAACCAACCAAGATATCAAAATTATTGACAAATCCATTAGCAAAAAAATCCGCACCGATGCAAATGCCAAAGAAACTACTGATTGCCTGTGCTTTGTTGTTGTTTCCAGTGCCTCTGAAGAATTGAAAAAGATGTCTCCTTTCCTGATAAGCAAATACATTCATTCATGCATAGGTGAGCCAAGGAACATAGTCTCCATTCTGGAGACCTGCTTATTGATACCTTTTTAGCCACCCAGTCTGCTTCACTTTTACATCAAACCAAACTTGGACAGGTCAGAGCAAAAAACACTTAATTCCTGTAGAGGTGTGATCTCGGAGATCGCCCTTTTGTGTCTTTCAGTAGAGGAGTTCTTCTCAGAGTTAGCTGACCAAAATGTCTGAGATGCTATGCGGATCAAGATGCGAAAAGAAGGCCAGTTGATTGACACGAAACACGTGATCCTGACCTTCAAATTGCCTGATCTGCTGGAGAATATAAAGGTTGAGTATCTAAACTGTCCCGTAAAACCATATAT